CACACACACACACACACACACACACACACACACACACACACACACACACACACACACACACATCCCCAGCCAAGCAGGTCCGTGTGATGGGTTGAACCCTGTGATTTTTACAGCTTTCTGCAGATCACAGCCTGCCACTCCCAAAGGTGTGGCGTTCAATCTGTTACCTAATGAACAAGTCTGAGCAAGAACAAAAAAATGTGTTAATATTTGTCATGGCAGGAGTTTTATGCTATACACTGTGGTGCAGATTGACTCAGTGAACGGTTGGTTTTATAGTTGAGCTCAGTCCAAGATGATTTTTAAGATCAAGTGTTTTTCACGATATCTGAAATAAAATTTGTTTCTGTGTTGTAGCAAGGGTGGCAGAAGAAGGATTTTGTCGATACTCTCTAAAAAGGGAACAAGGCTCTCTTTACCTGCAAGACTTGCTCATAAGATCACAAAGGGAATTTTTTTTGACCAGCAGGATCTAAAACGTTTTGTGCAACGCAGTGGACATCACAGGAAATGAACTACAATAACAGCAGGACAATGAATGAACTTTTGTACTTATGTCTGCACCTAAACCATTCATTCTAAACAGTTTGTATAGTGTCTTATCTGGGATTTGTTTCCTCTGAACAGTATGAATTTAATTAAGAGCGTTTTTAATAATGCTGGTTGACTTGTGCCCCCCTACTGTTGTAACACTACAACCAAATACAAAAAAATTTAAGGCACATTTGTAAATATTTCTCAATGTTTTGTATTTTGTTCTACATTTAAGACATCTCATTATTCAAGTAAAAATTAACATTTGAGTGTAAATTACAGATTAAACATGTATATAGATTACAGGGAACACTTTACCATTTGACTTTTATATTTACCTGTGCTTTATAAAGCATAAAATCTGTTTTTTTATATATAAAATGCTGCAGTGAGAGATCAGCTGGTGAAGTGTAAAGGTTTTTTTTTTTTGGCTTTGCTCCTAAAGTTCATTTTAAGGTTTATGAATGAAAATGTTGCATATTTGACCACCTTCTAGCGATATAACATGGTACACAGAAATTACTTTAAATGTATTTGTTAAAAAATCTTTTTAGAAAAATACAAAAAATGTTGGAATTGTAACAATTTCTGCTCAGCGGTATAAATGGTGATTGTATGTTTGGGTTTTGGAAACTTGTTTTCTTTTCCATGTTTTTCACAGATGGATGTATCATCTGATTTAATAAATAAAAAGACGTTCTCTGAAGTATTTCGTATGTGTGTTGCTGTAACAGACGCTGAAATGCCCAGACCACACCCTGTTTACATATTTGCTCGTGCTCAAACAGGAACAATACTAGATGTTCTCTGCTGCACCCATATTTAGACTCTTACTTCACTACACGCAATTGTTTCTCCAGAACTCAGTTCTGTCAAAAAGGAAAAGAACTGTATGTTTACCAGAGAAACTATCTCTTTAATTTATCTGTTTATGCCAATCATTAGTTATTAATTGTGGAATAAAGAAACTGCTTAAAAAGACAGATTTCTTATCTTTACTTTCCCCTTTGGGGACTAATAAAAAACAGATCAACTAAACACACCAAGTTCCTTCTTTTCTGGGAATATTTTACACAATGGTACAAAGAACAAATTGTGATAATTCAAAACAAGAAATGGCACATTACAATTATACCGTGTACAGAAAAATAACGCACCTGGCTACACACCACAAATATAAAAAGAGGTGGTCATTTCGTGGATCGGTGGGATTCACACGTCCTCCTTGGTGACCAGGCAGTAAAAGTCTGAGCGGGCTGCGTAGCTGCGTGCTCCAAGATCCGACATGTCGATGTCAGAAGGCTTTGGCTCGGCTGCTCTGATGGGTTCATCAGGGAGAACTGGAGCTTTAGAGGTCAGATTCCTGTAGACAGGTAGCCGAAGACCTGCCAGAAAGAAAACCATAAAGCCACAAGGTTATCCCAGTATTATTTAATCTTTACTAAATATTTTACTCTGTACATACAATGACTGAAAAGTGCAAAATGTCTGGGACTGAGAAATTACATTTCATTCATGTCAACACTGCTGCTAAAACCTGCAGCTTTGTTCAACAGATGACAGGTGAGAAATGCAAGGCAAGCACAGATAACATGATAATCTACAGCTAAGTACTGCTGAGAAAGAAAGAAAGAAAGCTGGTTGTATGTTCTTGACTCTAACCAGACTCATCTATGATCTGTACAAACACATTTATACTTTAGAAATACTGCAAAAACATTCACATTCATTAAAGAAAAACAAAATGCACAGGAAGTATTTTAACTGCATCTCAGTGGTATCTTCTCATCTTCCTGTCTGTCGTTCTACATAAGCTCACCATAAATATTTTATATTTGTTTTGTGTTTTTGAGATGTGCCATCTGTGAAGCACATCAGGTACCAGGAGGTGGAAATAAAACCACAAGTTCAGTGAAGTTGAAATTCATATTTATAGAATCAATAGCTTCTAAACAAACTAAACTGGTGAAAAAACATCTCCTCCCAACGGCAGAAGAGCAGAAAATACACAACCACACCATTTTAGTCAAAACAAACCACAATTAATTGAATTGTTCAATTCAGAAATTAGATGACCAGAAAAAAAAAACCAATTCTCTAGCAGTTTCACAAACTTCATTGAGTGATCCTAGGAGCTATACTGTCGGGGGCAATAGAAAAAGCCCCTGGTAGAGTCTGCCATGGACTGGTCTGAATGTTTGCCACAGCAAAACCAGTGTTGCATCGCTGAAATTATGACCTATTTTCATGTGCACAAAACTGTATCCTACATATGAGCTGCGCAATATTTGGTCCCCATCCAACTTAGATGTGCTTTTTATTTTGTAAATGCAACAATTAATCAAGTTACGAATTCATACATTTTCCCCACACAGTAAAAATAGCAAATCACAAAAAATACATTTCAAGTGCTCAACAGACACTAAACTTGAAGCAATTTAAAACAAGTTGTAGATGCCACCGACTATTTTAAAATAACTTTTTTCCATGTTCGAAATTCAAGCATCAGTGTGAGACATTTTGGAGCTTTCCTCATGCTGTGTGCCAAAAGTCACGACCCAGTAAAATACTGGCTTAACAATATTAAATACATTAGCTAGTTACAATTGGTAAATGGTCCCTAAACCCTTATTTCACTGTTAATACAAACTGAAAACAACATTAAACAACACATGCTGAGTTCTCTGTGAAAACAAGTTACTAAACTGAGGGAACAGATAACAAATCTGTTCATAATTTACTAAACTGACGTTTGAATTTATTAATGTAGTTTGACGTCTATTTTTGATTTAGATCTGTTGCCTTGTGTGCTTCTTACAAAACACTTAAACTAACAAAGCAAATATTTGTGCAAACCTTTATTTTGTTATGAAATGAAACATTAACTAAGGTTTAGTCAGTGTTTGATGATTTAAAATACTGAAACAGGGAAATTTAATTGAGCTGTTAAGATTTTTGTCTAACAAAGTGCACAACATTCAAGCAGTATTTCGTGTTTCATCAATGTGCATACACATACAACTGAAAGCAATTTGTCAAGTGTTTTAAAAGAGAGGAGCCAAGGCAGAAGTGACAGCTGAGCTTACCCAGGTCTCCAGCTGGATCAGTGTCTGAGCGACAGTCCAGGTAGTCTGGGTCAAGGGTCAGCATGGGGTCTTCATCTTCTTGTAGCACAGTCTGAGGGTCTCCTGCAGCCTGACTATAGAAGGTGACCCTACGAGGCATCGCTAAAGCCAGTTCTTTCCAGAAGTCAGAGGAAGGAATCTGGGCATCAAAACCACAAAAACAAAACATTATCTCAGTTTCACGCTGGTAAATAAAAGAGAAGTAAGGTTTTGGAAGTATAAAACCTTTGCATGCATAAATAAAATTATACCCTGCAAAGACCATATTGTAGGGTTCATTAAATAACTAAACCAACCCATTACAACCCATAACAACAAAAACTATGCTTTCCAGAATTACAAACCAAAAAGGTTTTATTTTATGCAACATACTATGTTTCTATTTGTGAAATTATAATCCAAGTATAATTATATATAGGCTATAATTAAAGATAAAAGCAAGGCTTAGCCCCTCACACATAACCACATGGAACTGGTCTGATCATTTCTCGGACAGATTTCTGTCTGTGCCGTTTTTGCCTCAGGCCGTCTCCTTGGTTGAAAATAAGGAGAGCTCAGTTTGAGAAACGGGACGATGCATACTTTTGGGCACCAATCAGAATCAGGCATCATTTGAATCTCAACTTTGACTGACTGACACTCACACAAAACTCATTAATCTTTGCAGACTGGGAGCACTGTCTGAAAGGAAGCTTTTAAAAAAAGCTCTGATGAAAGATGACACACATGCATGGGTTAAAGCAAAAAAAAAACTTTTTATTTTTTTTCTAAACCCTCCCACCACCACACACCCACAGTATAGTACACTCCTACGCGATCCTGTGTACTTTGGCTAAGGGCATGTACGCATTATACTCCTAACAATTTCTCCTAAATCAAAGTAGACAGTATAGCTCTCAAATGAAGCGTTATACAAAGACTTTAACCTGAACCATTTGGACCAAAACGATTTGTAAAGAACAGAGTGATTTTGAACAGCTTTTCTGTAGTTTTCAATATTGTCGTTTTCAGTGTTTTAATTAGAAAAAAAATTTTTTTTTTGGCAAGACTTGAGTCAGACATAGTTATATAAATATTTAACCATCCTCATAACTTATAAGTGCAATTAAACACATTATGTATATGTGTGATATAATAGCCTATATGCCACGGACTTCTGATTCGAGCACTTCCACATTCCTTTGCCACGCACCGGTCTTCCGGTTCCCAGGCAACACAGTGTTAGCAAAAGATTTTTTCACCTGACAACGACTCTTAATGATCTCCACAGTACAGAATTAGCATGTTACATTTACCAACATTAACACAGGAGACGTACAGGCCCAGCCAAGGGAAAAAAAATCACTCCAAAGTGGATTAAAGCCATAAAAACAAAGGAAAGACATTCGTGTTTATGGTTCCAGAATTGAGCCTTTTTCACTATTCCTCGGCTGCTTGTTCCGTGAATTTTTCACGTAGAGCTGTGACACTTATATTGTTGGAAAGAGCAGAGGCTGGGCTTTAAATTGATGGGCTACTTGTATGGTTTGGATAGTTTTCCCCGACGTTGAACTGAACTGAAAAAGTAATGATTATCAGGCGGAGGTTCTACGGCTCTCGGTACTCGGGGGGAGGGGGGGGAGGGGCACTCGTCGCTCGTGTTTTGTCTACACTGTAATATGCACTCTAACAAGGTTTTACTTTAGCAAAAAACTCATGACAAAGTTGCCTAAAAAAATTTCATACTCTGTATAACACAAACGCGCACACACCTACCTTTGTACCGGCTGCTGTGTGTTAGCTTCCTCCTAGCTGTCATCTTTCCTCTCTCGTCTTGGCTGCAAGGGGGATAACTGTACATTTCCCTTTTGTAACCTCCGTCTTCTAATTTCTGATGCTGGCTCTTGAATAGCCTCAGGTTTGAAATGCCGATTACAAACGCGAGCGTGAGCTTTTAAAGATAAGTTTTCCTTGTAATGCTATGATCCACTGCTGTCACCTTTCCTCCTCATCAAGAGGAAAATGGAGAAAAACGAACTACTCGATCGTATCTGCTGCTTAGTGGACACAACGGCACACAACAGAACTCACGTTTTATACCAGTAGATCACAGATGCTTTAACTTTTGTGACTTTTTCACGGACTAGTTCTAGCTTACGCTAAAAACAAAGGCAGTAATCAGGAAGTGGAAGAGATGCGCGTGGCAAGAATTTTACCGGAATTACGTCATTAATGACCGTGGCATGTAGGTTATGGAATATAAAAACAATTATAGCATATACTGCATTTTTCTTTTGCACAGCACAAAACATCTTAAAACTACAATTCTTTTTGTTTTATTAGTTGTTTCTTTGTTAAAATTACTATTTTGTTTAAAAGAATTAGGGATTTTCAGCTCACAGTCATTTAATACTACTTATTCTTCATATTTAATCATTTATTGAATTACATTTATCCCTGTAGTTCTGTCAGAGTATGGGAATCTCACAGAAAGACTCCAGGATGTGCACACCGTGGCACACTCCCGTGGCAGTAGGCTACTCTCTCACGAGGACAGAGGAGTTTGGTCACGGGTGGAAGATAGGACGTATCTGTTCGATACTGATGCTCTGAACACACAGACATCTAATATAATGTTAGGTTTTAGGGGCCAAAGTTGGGGGTAGCTCAGGAGTAAAGAGCAAGAGGAGAGGTTTGCTCACTCAGGACAGGAGCTGTAGGCTGACCTGTCTCTGCTCTCACTGCCCTGCTCTGATTGGATAAAACTGTGGCTCTTGGGTCCATTTAATCCGGCATCATTAGATTGGATGGCTTTAATGACACCACAACAGAAAACAACTCGTCTCCCCTCCTCTCAATTTTACAGATGATAGAAATCTGTCTCGGCCACATTTAAGATGACAGAAGTCTGTTGTGGCGAGAACTTTAAGCCCTAAACCTGTTACGTATTTTTAGAAAAGCCCTTGGGATTTAGGAGCTTGTTTTTTGAGTGTAGTTTGAATAATTTTAAACATACCTCTCTGACACGCTGTCTATGTAAAGCAGACCCTACTTCCACGTTTCAGTACAAAAACAAATGTTTTTAATGCTAGGGTCAGAAAACCTTGATATAATTTGTGAAAAACACAATTGTGTTTAAATACACTGATTATATGAACTAAATGTTGAATCGTACCACAGAATTGTGTCTCCAAGTCAGTATGGTGAGTCGATGTTGGTACTCATTGAGCTGCTGTTTGACGTCAGAACTCATGCGTCTGGACTGACCCTCCAACGTGATCAGGATGGGTTGTTGACATAACTCCAACAAGTGCAGAAAGCCCTGTCTGAAAAGGAAACCGCCTCAGTACACCAGACATGTTGCACACATGCAACACTGACCTCAAGTGGTAGATTGTGCAGCAAGGATTTCACTCATAAAGATTAGATGCTTTTACAAATTTCTCTAGTTTCAACAAGTCTGTGTGAGTCTGACCTGAAATTGCTGGTGCACCAGTCCTGCTCGAGGTAAGCATGAGAAAGTAGCACAATGAGACGGCGAGAGCGGCTTATGTGCATTAGGAGCTCTGCAGAAGGAGCTAGATTGTGGAAGAATTTTTTTTTTTTACTTTTCAGACATTACAGAAAACAAACAAGATTTTTACTGCAGACAATGTGGACAAAAATCAGAAAAGCTTTAAGGGAAACACTCTCCACTCAATGTTACCTGCACCAGGTAAGATATCGTTGTCATTGAGGTGCAGCTTGTATCCACTTTTATTTTCCAGGTGAGGTTTGAGAATAAAGTTGACGAACTTCCTGTCGTAGTCGTTGTTGACATATGAGATGTAGGCGTCGTAGAGTTTCCCATCTGAAGACGCAGAGATACAAACATCCCATGGGTGTTAAAACTACACACAGGAGAATAATAACCTCATCGTTTCTGTAAGACTTACCGTTGAGCTCATAGTCCCCATATGAGTTTTTGTACCAGAGTTTGATGCTCAGGTGACACCTGGTGTACACAATGGCTGCTACACCCAGCAGGAGGAGGAGGATGATGGCTGCAGTGACAGCAGCTGTGTGGCTGGGACTGTCTGACCACACAACAGAAACAATAAGCATTTAATAATAATTAAATATTTCCCTTAAAAATGTCTAATTCTAACCACTGAGCTCTTGTATGACTTATTTAGTTAGATTGTGGACAATTAATACTAAACAAAAATAAAATCCACCTCCACAAACACAAGCAGTTTCTTTAAACAAAAAGAAATACGAAAAGACTTTTTAAAATTCTATTAAAAACATACTCTTCAACCTTTTTCATTGTGCACAAAAATACTGAAACTTTTCACACTATTTTTACAGTGTTTTGGTTACAAATACTAATATTAAGTAGCCAGCTCACTAAAAAATAACTTAAAAATAATTAAGTGAAACAACAAGTGAAAGCAGCAGATCTTTCTCAGAACTGTTAACAAACCAGTGTGAGTGAATAACACTTTTATTTTTGCTATTCGCAGGTATGTTGCTAACTTGTCAATATGAGAAATGTTAAAATACAAGCAATATAGAAATTAAATAAACAATATACAGTAGTTTTTATTTTACATATGTTAAGAGCCTGATCTGCCCACTACTGTGTTGAATACAACCATATATAAATTTTGCATCTCATGTTTTGCATTTTAAACCATTTCCTTACGTCCTCTCTCAGTAGCAGCTCCTGAGCATAAATTTTAGTGGGGCGGACATTGTTTTCCTGAACCAGTATCTGACATTTTTTAATCAGTTATTTGTCTTTTTTCTCTCCCCGCAGGTCGAGTCTCATAAAAAAAAAGTCTGGTCTAATAAGTAAATCAGAGAAACACCACCTGCACCAACCCAAAAGTACTTTATTTTTACTGTGGATAAAATCAACCCAGCAGGTACACAGATTTCTGGATTGGATTTCTAAATTAATTTTAAGTATTTTTTTCTGCATTAATACTCCAGATTAACTGAGTTAAATGAAGGGGAAGACGTCCTG